AGAACTAGAGCAGAACTAGAACAGAACTAGAACAGAACTAGAACAGAACTAGAACAGAACTAGAACAGAACTAGAACAGAACTAGAATAGAACTAGAGCAGAACTAGAACAGAACTAGAACAGAACTAGAACAGAACTAGAACAGAACTAGAACAGAACTAGAACAGAACTAGAACAGAACTAGAACAGAACTAGAACAGAACTAGAACAGAACTAGAACAGAACTAGAACAGAACTAGAACAGAACTAGAACAGAACTAGAACAGAACTAGAACAGAACTAGAACAGAACTAGAACAGAACTAGAACAGAACTAGAACAGAACTAGAACAGAACTAGAACTGAACTAGAACTTACTAGAACAGAACTAGAACAGAACTAGAACAGAACTAGAACAGAACTAGAACAGAACTAGAACAGAACTAGCACAGAACTAGAACAGAACTAGAACAGAACTAGAACAGAACTAGAACAGAACTAGAACAGAACTAGAACAGAACTAGAACAGAACTAGAACAGAACTAGAACAGAACTAGAACAGAACTAGAACAGAACTAGAACAGAACTAGAACAGAACTAGAACAGAACTAGAACAGAACTAGAACAGAACTAGAACAGAACTAGAACAGAACTAGAACAGAACTAGAACAGAACTAGAACAGAACTAGAACAGAACTAGAACAGAACTAGAACAGAACTAGAACTGAACTGAACTAGAACTGAACTAGAACTTACTAGAATGAATTAGAACTGAACTAGAACTGAACTAGAACTGAACTAGAACTGAACTAGAACTGAACTAGAACTGAACTAGAACTGAACTAGAACTGAACTAGAACTGAACTAGAACTGAACTAGAACTGAACTAGAACTGAACTAGAACTGAACTAGAACTGAACTAGAACTGAACTAGAACTGAACTAGAACTGAACTAGAACTGAACTAGAACTGAACTAGAACTGAACTAGAACTGAACTAGAACTGAACTAGAACTGAACTAGAACTGAACTAGAACTGAACTAGAACTGAACTAGAACTGAACTAGAACTGAACTAGAACTGAACTAGAACTGAACTAGAACTGAACTAGAACTGAACTAGAACTGAACTAGAACTGAACTAGAACTGAACTAGAACTGAACTAGAACTGAACTAGAACTGAACTAGAACTGAACTAGAACTGAACTAGAACTGAACTAGAACTGAACTAGAACTGAACTAGAACTGAACTAGAACTGAACTAGAACTGAACTAGAACTGAACTAGAACTGAACTAGAACTGAACTAGAACTGAACTAGAACTGAACTAGAACTGAACTGAACTAGAACTGAACTAGAACTGAACTAGAACTGAACTAGAACTGAACTAGAACTGAACTAGAACTGAACTAGAACTGAACTAGAACTGAACTAGAACTGAACTAGAACTGAACTAGAACTGAACTAGAACTGAACTAGAACTGAACTAGAACTGAACTAGAACTGAACTAGAACATGAACTAGAACTGAACTAGAACTGAACTAGAACTGAACTAGAACTGAACTAGAACTGAACTAGAACTGAACTAGAACTGAACTAGAACTGACTAGAACTGAACTAGAACTGAACTAGAACTGAACTAGAACTGAACTAGAACTGAACTAGAACTGACTAGAACTGAACTAGAACTGAACTAGAACTGAACTAGAACTGAACTAGACTGAACTAGAACTGAACTAGAACTGAACTAGAACTGAACTAGAACTGAACTAGAACTGAACTAGAACTGAACTAGAACTGAACTAGAACTGAACTAGAACTGAACTAGAACTGAACTAGAACTGAACTAGAACTGAACTAGAACTGAACTAGAACTGAACTAGAACTGAACTAGAACTGAACTAGAACTGAACTAGAACTGAACTAGAACTGAACTAGAACTGAACTAGAACTGAACTAGAACTGAACTAGAACTGAACTAGAACTGAACTAGAACTGAACTAGAACTGAACTAGAACTGAACTAGAACTGAACTAGAACTGAACTAGAACTGAACTAGAACTGAACTAGAACTGAACTAGAACTGAACTAGAACTGAACTAGAACTGAACTAGAACTGAACTAGAACTGAACTAGAACTGAACTAGAACTGAACTAGAACTGAACTAGAACTGAACTAGAACTGAACTAGAACTGAACTAGAACTGAACTAGAACTGAACTAGAACTGAACTAGAACTGAACTAGAACTGAACTAGAACTGAACTAGAACTGAACTAGAACTGAACTAGAACTGAACTAGAACTGAACTAGAACTGAACTAGAACTGAACTAGAACTGAACTAGAACTGAACTAGAACTGAACTAGAACTGAACTAGAACTGAACTAGAACTGAACTGAACTAGAACTGAACTAGAACTGAACTAGAACAGAACTAGAACAGAACTAGAACAGAACTAGAACAGAACTAGAACTGAACTCGAACTGAACTAGAACAGAACTTAAACAGAACTAAAACAGAACTAGAACAGAACTAGAACAGAACTAGAACAGAACTTAAACAGAACTAAAACAGAACTAGAACAGAACTAGAACAGAACTAGAACAGAACTAGAACAGAACTAGAACAGAACTAAAAGAGAACTAAAACAGAACTAGAACTGAACTGGAATTGGAACTAGAACTGAACTAGAACTAGAACTGAACTAGAACTGAACTAGAACTGAACTAGAACTGAACTAGAACTGAACTAGAACAGAACTAGAACAGAACTAGAACTGAACTAGAACTGAACTAGAACTGAACTAGAACTGAACTAGAACTGAACTAGAACTGAACTAGAACTGAACTAGAACTGAACTAGAACTGAACTAGAACTGAACTAGAACTGAACTAGAACTGAACTAGAACTGAACTAGAACTGAACTAGAACTGAACTAGAACTGAACTAGAACTGAACTAGAACTGAACTAGAACTGAACTAGAACTGAACTAGAACTGAACTAGAACTGAACTAGAACTGAACTAGAACTGAACTAGAACTGAACTAGAACTGAACTAGAACTGAACTAGAACTGAACTAGAACTGAACTAGAACTGAACTAGAACTGAACTAGAACTGAACTAGAACTGAACTAGAACTGAACTAGAACTGACTAGAACTGAACTAGAACTGAACTAGAACTGAACTAGAACTGAACTAGAACTGAACTAGAACTGAACTAGAACTGAACTATAACTGAACTAGAACTGAACTAGAACTGAACTAGAACTGACTAGAACTAGAACTGAACTAGAACTGAACTAGAACTGAACTAGAACTGAACTAGAACTGAACTAGAACTGAACTAGATTTGAACTAGAACTTAACTAGAACTAAACTGGGATACAAATATAAATGTACAATAACTGATCTAATCTTTTATCTGAAAATTTTAATAAAGTTTTTATTAAGCTTTAGAGAAAGTTCACAGCTTTAAAAATTTTTAATTTATTTTTTTGCTTTAGTATTTATCATGTTAAAACATAAATAACTTTGTTTTTTTGCATTACCGGCTATATATAACGCATTTATAACTCTTCGTTAGTCTCATGTTTCGTTCGTTTTTTTTTTTTTTTTTGCCTCAAATGGGGAATAAAAACTAAAAATAATAAAAGAAATAAAACGAAACATCACCCCATAAAAATGTCAATAGTTAAATGGATACCACAAAAAGCATTACATTAAAATGCAACTTGCTGTTTCCTTTTTTTCTTGAGTATTTTTTTATATTTTGTAAGAAGTTATATTTTTTTGCATAAAACCGCCAACCGTGTAAAAACCATTAAAAAACCATAAGAGCAATGTTTAAATGTTAGTAAGGCTTATGGAAAAGGAAACGAGGGAGGAGGTGTATTGAAGAAATTTAAAGGAATATTTGTTATTAAAGCAGGAAAGTTTAACTAAAGAAAAGGCTTTGAGGTTTGTTTAGTGTTTGATTACTGTTACAAGGTTTGGTTCAGCGTAACTTAAGAAAGAGCTTTTAAGTTTAGATGTTAGTTTAAGCTTTAGCTGTGTTGTAAAAGCTTTTGCTAGCTTAAGTAAAGAAAAAGCTTTTTGGGGTTTGTTTAGTGTTTGGTTACTGTTACAAGGTTTGATTCAGTGTAACTTAAAGAAGAGCTTTTAAGTTTAGCTTGTTTATTTAGGCTTTAGCTTTGTTATAAAAGCTTTTGGTAGCTTAACTAAAGAAAAAGCTTTTTGAGTTTTGTTTAGTGTTTGGTTACTGTTACAAGGTTTGATTCAGCGTAACTTAAGAAAGAGCTTTTAAGTTTAGCTTGTTAGTTTAGGCTTTAGCTGTGTTGTAAAAGCTTTTGCTAGCTTAACTACAGAAAAAGCTTTTTGAGGTTTGTTTAGTGTTTAGTTACTGTTACAAGGTTTTGTTTAGCGTAACTTAAAGAAGAGCTTTTAAGTTTAGCTTGTTCGTTTAGGCTTAAGCTGTGTTATAAAAGCTTTTGGTAGCTTAACTAAAGAAAAAGCTTTTTGACGTTTGTTTAGTGCTTGGTTACTGTTACAAGGTTTGGTTCAGTGTAACATAAAGAAGAGCTATTAAGTTTAGCTAGTTAGTTTAAGTTTTAGCTTTAGCTGGAAACCATTGGACTTTTCTGTCAACCCTCGTAAATGCAGCTCTCTTTATATAGCAAGTTACCAGATAAAGTTTTTTTCTTCCTGTTAAAATACCCCCTGCTGTTAGCAAAATTATACAAAGAATAAAGTCTTTCTTGTATTTTTTATAGCTTTTACACTTGGAGCTCAAATTTAAACAGGCGAAATAGAAGCTTCTGCTGTTCCTGTTGGAGCTGCTAACCAAGGCATATTTATAACTTCACAAAATAGTTAATGACAATTAAACATAAGATCATATTTTAACACAAAAACCAACTTGAACTCTAGGGGGGGGGGAAGTTTCGAAACACCAAGAAAATTGGTAAATAGTAAAAATAGTTGATAAACCTGGTGAATAAAGATGACCAAGATGGACTTACCTATATCGAATCCATGTGTATGTGTAGATTGATACAGCACTATGCTTATAAGGGTTAAAAGCTGATAGGAAAGGCACTGGCGGGAGAACATATTGCAGGTGGTAGTTAAGGTGAGTCGTTGTATTGATGTTGATGATAAAGATTTTGTTTTAGCCATAATTATAAATTTTGTTTGTTTAATTTTTCAGTAAGCAGGCAGTGGTTTACTGTTGTTGTTTTTCTCGTTTAGACAAATAGCAGGAGATCTAAAAATAAAAGATAAAATTATTTAAAATTAATTTCTTTAAGTATCATAATAAATGTTTAATAATTAAAGGAAAAAAAATTGTCTTTAATAATCTCTCAGAATGTTATTTGTTGCAACCACAGTAGCTCTTTATTAATGTCTGCCTCCTGTGGTGTACGGCTACAACTTCATTGTAATTTCTGATAAAAAAAACAAATACTAACGTCCCCACAATATAAAAAAAAACATAAACAGATAATTGCAATTTATGAGAGATTTAACTACAGAATAATAATCAACTTCTAAAAATATTTAAAAAAAACTATGACAACTGTTAAAAAAATTATTTAAATTTCTTCTTAAAACTTCAAAAAAAATCTTTATAAATTAAAACAAAAAAAAAACCTGCTATGTCATGTACTGACAGCTGTCAAAATAGTTAAGTTTTTTCTACTTTTTCTCTCTTTTTAACCAAACAGACATTTTAGACATTATTTTCATAACAAACCCTCTACACAAAAAGAATTCTTGGCAAAAACCAAAAAAAAAAAAAAAACAACATCATCATTCAGTCAGTCAGTCATTCTTTACAAATATGTAAAATATGAGTTAGTACTTAAAAATATTTTTCAAGCTCCTCTCCCCTCAAGCAAAAAAGAAACCCTAGCATTTACTATTTAGATAAGTGAGAGAGTGAAGAAGAAAAAATTGTTCATAACGTACAATTTCATTAATTCATTAAAATGTCAAAGTGATATGAAATGTCATGTTTATTCAATTTAGAAGACAAACAATTGACACGTTTATATGAAATAATTCTTAAGATTTCATTTATGCTTTAACACATGAAATGTAAAAGTATAGGAAAAAAATGGCAAATATTTTTTTTTAGAAAAAAATTCTTAGAAAACCCTATGGAATAGATCGAATAGTAATGGAACTTAATGTAAAAATGTTAAAGTTGAAGGTAACAATGATTGGAAACCAAAAAATTAAAAGCTGCTAATGGTTTTTCTCTGAAGAAAAGAACTAGAACAGAACTAAAACAGAACTAGAACAGAACTAGAACAGAACTAGAACAGAACTAGAACAAAACTAGAACAGAACTAGAACAGAACTAGAACAGAACTAGAACAGAACTAGAACAGAACTAGAACAGAACTAGAACAGAACTAGAACAGAACTAAAACAGAACTAGAACAGAACTAGAACAGAACTAGAACAGAACTAGAACAGAAATAGAACAGAACTAGAACAGAACTAGCACAGAACTAGAACAGAACTAGAACAGAACTAGAACAGAACTAGAACAGAACTAGAACAGAACTAGAACAGAACTAAAACAGAACTAGAACAGAACTAGAACAGAACTAGAACAGAACTAGAACAGAACTAGAACTAGAACAGAACTAGAACAGAACTAGAACAGAACTAGAACAGAACTAGAACAGAACTAGAACAGAACTAGAACAGAACTAGAACAGAACTAGAACAGAACTAGAACAGAACTAGAACAAGACTAGAAGAGAACTAGAACAGAACTAGAACAGAACTAAAACACAACTAGAACATAACTAGAACAGAACTGGAATAGAACTAGAACAAAACTAGAACAAAATTAGAACAGAACTAGAACAGAACTAGAACAGGACTAGAACAGAACTAGAACAGAACTAGAACAGAACTAGAACAGAACTAGAACAGAACTAGAACAGAACTAGAACAGAACTAGAACAGAACTAGAACACAACTGGAACACAACTTGAACAGAACTAGAACAAAACTAGAACAGAACTAGAACAGAACTAGAACAGAACTAGAACAGAACTAGAACAGAACTAGAACACAACTAGAAAAAACTAGAACAGAACTAGAACAGAACTAGAACAGAACTAGAACAGAACTAGAACACAACTAGAACACAACTAGAACAAACTAGAACAGAACTAGAACAGAACTAGAACAGAACTAGAACAGAACTAGAACAGAACTAAACAGAACTAGAACAGAACTAGAACAGAACTAGAACAGAACTAGAACAGAACTAGAACAGAACTAGAACAGAACTAGAACAGAACTAGAACAGAACTAGAACAGAACTAGAACAGAACTAGAACAGAACTAGAACAGAACTAGAACAGAACTAGAACAGAACTAGAACAGAACTAGAACAGAACTAGAACAGAACTAGAACAGAACTAGAACAGAACTAGAACAGAACTAGAACAGAACTAGAACAGAACTAGAACAGAACTAGAACAGAACTAGAACAGAACTAGAACAGAACTAGAACAGAACTAGAACAGAACTAGAACAGAACTAGAACAGAACTAGAACAGAACTAGAACAGAACTAGAACAGAACTAGAACAGAACTAACAGAACTAGAACAGAACTAGAACAGAACTAGAACAGAACTAGAACAGAACTAGAACACAACTGGAACACAACTTGAACAGAACTAGAACAAAACTAGAACAGAACTAGAACAGAACTAGAACAGAACTAGAACAGAACTAGAACAGAACTAGAACACAACTAGAACAAAACTAGAACAGAACTAGAACAGAACTAGAACAGAACTAGAACAGAACTAGAACACAACTAGAACACAACTAGAACAAAACTAGAACAGAACTAGAACAGAACTAGAACAGAACTAGAACAGAACTAAAACAGAACTAGAACAGAACTAGAACAGAACTAGAACAGAACTAGAACAGAACTAGAACAGAACTAGAACAGAACTAGAACAGAACTAGAACAGAACTAGAACAGAACTAGAACAGAACTAGAACAGAACTAGAACAGAACTAGAACAGAACTAGAACAGAACTAGAACAGAACTAGAACAGAACTAGAACAGAACTAGAACAGAACTAGAACAGAACTAGAACAGAACTAGAACAGAACTAGAACAGAACTAGAACAGAACTAGAACAGAACTAGAACAGAACTAGAACAGAACTAGAACAGAACTAGAACAGAACTAGAACAGAACTAGAACAGAACTAGAACAGAACTAGAACAGAACTAGAACAGAACTAGAACAGAACTAGAACAGAACTAGAACAGAACTAGAACAGAACTAGAACAGAACTAGAACAGAACTAGAACAGAACTAGAACAGAACTAGAACAGAACTAGAACAGAACTAGAACTAGAACAGAACTAGAACACCAGAACACAACTAGAACACAACTAGAACAGAACTAGAACTGAACTAGAACTGAACTAGAACTGAACTAGAACTGAACTAGAACTGAACTAGAACAGAACTAGAACAGAACTAGAACAGAACTAGAACTGAACTAGAACTGAACTAGAACTGAACTAAAACTGAACTAGAACAGAACTAGAACAGAACTAGAACAGAACTAGAACAGAACTAGAACAGAACTAGAACAGAATTAGAACAGAATTAGAACAGAACTAGAACAGAACTAGTATTGATTTAAAACTGTATTAAATCCAAAATAAATTAAAAGCTTTAATAACAAGGATATTGCAACATTTTCTAATTCCCTGTTAAACGCCTTCAACCTTTAACCTTTTAGCTGTTATATGTTTTTTTATGTTAGCTGAAGCAGCAAATTTTCTTTAAAACATTTCATTAAATTCATATAAAAATCCTATAAATTGTGTTAAATTTATTTTTGCTTTCCTTAGCAGCCAACAGCCATTGTTATTTAAAACGTTTTAAAACACTTATTTTATGCTGCTGCTGTTGTTGTTTTATACTTTATAGAATATTTGCTACCATCATACACGTAGTACTACCATATATATTATACTCAATAGCAGTAATGGGCAAAGACACACGTTTCAAGCATATGTAAGTTTGGTTTATATGATGTGAAGAGTTTTATAGCATTTATATTAGTTGTTAGCTGTTGTTACTTTTTCAAATATTTGCCCATAACTGATTTATATTAAATTTCCTAGTATGTTGTTTTTATTTTAATAAATTTTTACTTTTTATATTCTGCTCTAAGTTGGAAGTGAAAAAATAGGTTAAATTAATAATGACACCCGGGCTGTTTTAATGTACAAAGAAAGAAAACTGTGGAGGAGAGCTACTAAGGCTGCAGCAGCTCCTACTGCTGGCTATAGAACAACAGCAATTACTTGGCAACATATACATATGTATATGTATGTAGAAAAAGAAGAAGAACTAGAAATTGTCTTTAGGGTGCTGTTGGTTATATTGAAACCTAACGCCTTTTCTTTATTAAATACCATATACCCTCTCTAAAACATTATATGATAGGGTATACATATACATACATATATGTTAAATATATAGACAGACACATGTTGTAAGAAGAGGTAAACATGTGTGTATATGGTTAATATGTTGCTGCTGTATTTTGATCCTATATATAACACGCCAACGGCACTTGTACACTTTATATATTATTTCATTTCAATTTTTATTCTTTTTTTTTTTTCTCTGAAACATTTTTGCTGTTTTTAATTTTTTTACCCACGAGTTAGTTAAAGCAGAAATGGTATAAATGTACGAATAAAAATGAACCAAAGCAATAATGCCGCCACCTTTTTGTACTACTACTAGCTTTATAGAATATAAAAAAAAATTATATAAAAAATGAATGAAAGCCTGCCTGCTAAAAAAAAAACTATTCCCTATTATAACAAGATGTATAAACTGCATACATGACTTTGTGGTAACTACACTGCTTGCAAACTAGTATAAAATTTTCCAGTTTTTTTTCATTTTTGTTGCTGCTAAATACCACAAACTTATATTACAAAGTCTAAGAACCTATACCCAATCCCAAACTCAAAACTCTATTTTAGTTTTGTTTTACCAGAGTAAAAAAAAAGCCTTTTAGCTAGAACCTATATCTATATATGACTTTGCTTGCTTTTGGTGAATAGATAGTGTAAGTGGTAGTAAAGAAAATGTTGTTAGTTTTAAGGCTTTTATATGTTTGTCCAGTTTTAGTTTGTACGTCTGTCCGTCTGTACGTCCATCCTTCTATCAGCTTTTAAAACA